CAGCCTGGTCCTTGTATGTGGGTACGGAGATGTGTCAGCATCCTGCTCCTTGTATGTGCGGTACTGAGATTGTGGCAGCCCTGGCTCCTTGTTTGTGGGACTGAGATGTGTCAGCCCAGGCTCCTTGGTATGTGGGTACTGAGATGTGTCAGCCGGCTCCTTGTTTGTGGGTCTGAGATGTGTCAGGCCTGGCTCCTTGTATGTGGGTACTGTAGATGTGTCCAGCCTCTGGCATCCTTGTTGTGAGGTACTGAGATGTGTCGGACCTGGCTCTTGTATGTGTCGGTACTGAGATGTGTCGCCCGGCTCCTGGTATGTGGGTACTGAGATGTGTCTCAGCCATGGCTCCTTGTATGTGGTATGAGATGTTGTCCAGCCCTGGCTCTTGTATGTGGGTGTTACTGAGATGTGTGAGCCCTGGCACCTTGTTGTGGGTTATGAGATGTGTCAGACCTTGCTCCTTGTATGTGGGTACTGAGATGTGTCAGCCCTGGCTCATCTGTTGTGACGGTACTGAGATGTGTAGCCCTGGCTCCTTGTATGTGGGATACTTGAGGATGTGCATCAGCCCTGCTCCTTGTATGTGGGTAATGAAGATGTGTCAAGCCCTGGCTCCTTGTATGTGGGTACGAGATGTTCGTCAGCCTGGCTCCTTGTATGTGGGTACTGAGATGTGTCAGCGCCTGAGCTCCTTGTATGTGGGGTACTGAGATAGTGTCAGCCCTGGCTCCTTTGTTATGTGTAGGTACTGCGATGTGTCAGCCCTGGCTCCTTGTATGTGGGTACTGAGTTTGTGTCAGCCCTGGCTCCCTTGTATGGGGGTACTGAAGATGGTGTCAGCCCTGGCTCCTTGTTATGTGCGGTTTACTGAGATGTGTCAGCCCAGGCTCCTTGTATGGTGGGTACTGTGATGTGTCAGCCCTGGTCCTTGTATGTGGGTACTGAGATGAGTCAGCCCTGCTCCATGTTATGTGGGTACTGAGATGCTGTCAGCCTGGCTCCTGTAATGTGCGGTCACTGTGATGTGTCAGCCTGGCTCCTTGTATGTGGGTCAATGAGATGTGTCAGCCTGGCTCCTTGTGTGTGCGGGGGTATGAGATGTGTCAGCCCTGGCTCATGTATGAGGGTACTGAGAGATGTGTCAGCCCTGGCTCTTGTATGTGGGTACTGAGATGTGTAGCCTGGCTCCTTGTATTGTGGGTACTGAGATGTGTCAGCCTCTGTGCCTTGTGATGTGGGTATGAGATGTGTCAGCACTGGTCTCCTTGTATGTGGGGGGTATGAGATGTGTCTGCCCTGGCTCTTGTATGTGGTTACTGAGTTGGTCTGCCTGGATCCTTGGTATGTGGGGTACTGAGATGTGTTTATGCCTATGCTGGCTCCATGTATGTGGGTACTGAGATGTGTCAGCACTGGCTCTTGTATGTGGGTACTGATATGGCGTCAGCCCTGGCTCCTTGTATGTGTGTACTGTAATGTGTCAGCCCTGGCTCCTTGTATGTGAGGTATGAGTTGTGTCAGCCCTGGCTCCTTGTATTGTGTTGGTACTGCGATGTGTCACGCCTGGTCCGCCTTGTATGTGGGTACTGAGATGTGTCAGGCCCGTGGCTCTTGTATGTGGGTACTGAGATGTGTCAGCCCTGGCTCCTTGTATGTGGGTACTGAGATGTGTCATGACCTGGCTCCTTGTATGTGGGGTTACTGAGATGTGTCCAGCCCTGGCCTCTTGTATGTGGGATACGTGAGAGTGTCAGCCCTGGGTCCTTGTATGTGGGTAATGAGATGTGTCAGCCCTGGCTCCTTGTATGTGGGTAACTGATATGTGTCAGCCTGGCTCCTTGTATTGTGGGTACTGGATGTGTCAGCCCTGGGCTCCTTGTATGTGGGTACTGAGAATGTGTCAGGCACGCGCGCCTACCTTGTAATGTGGGGTACTGAGATTGTCAGCCGGCTCTTGTATGTGGGTAATGAGATGTGTCAGCCCTCGGCTCCTTGTATGTGGGTACTGAGATGTGTAGCCCTGGCTCCTTGTATGTGGGTACTGAGATGTGTCAGCCCTGGCTCCTTGTATGTGGGTACTGAGATGTGTCAGCCCTGGCTCCTTGTATGTGGGTACTGAGATGTGTCAGCCCTGGCTCCTTGTATGTGGGTACTGAGATGTGTCAGCCCTGGCTCCTTGTATGTGGGTACTGAGATGTGTCAGCCCTGGCTCCTTGTATGTGGGTACTGAGATGTGTCAGCCCTGGCTCCTTGTATGTGGGTACTGAGATGTGTCAGCCCTGGCTCCTTGTATGTGGGTACTGAGATGTGTCAGCCCTGGCTCCTTGTATGTGGGTACTGAGATGTGTCAGCCCTGGCTCCTTGTATGTGGGTACTGAGATGTGTCAGCCCTGGCTCCTTGTATGAACGTCAGCTGGCTGACACCTACAATGTCTCCTTGTATGAACGTCAGCTGGCTGACACTTTCAATGGCTCCTTGTATGAACGTCAGCTGGCTGACACTTTCAATGGCTCCTTGTCTGAACGTCAGCTGGCTGACACCTACAATGTCTCCTTGTCTGACGGTCAGCTGGCTGACACCTACAATGTCTCCTTGTCTGACGGTCAGCTGGCTGACACCTACAATGTCTCCTTGTCTGACGGTCAGCTGGCTGACACCTACAATGACACATCACTCACTGAGTGATCGTCCTCGTCCCCATACTATTATTGCGCAGAAAATAATAGTTTACTTAATATTTCTTGCTGTAAATGGTAATTTAGCTAACAAGAAGAACCATGACTTGTAACCAGGCTACCTAGCTTCTTGAGGCACCTGTGGCGGAGTGATCTAAAGCGTCACACTGGAAAGCTATGCCACTCCCCACACGGGTTCAAATCCTGCTGACTGCGATCTTTTTCATTATATATCTATATATGCATTAATATATGAGTGAACGTAGATAGAGTAAGGTGATGAGAGTATCAAACGAGTTAGGTCAGGAAAAATTGGATATCAGATTGGAGGGAGAGAGTGTGGAGGAAGTGAAAGTGTTCAGGTATTTGGGAGTTGACCTGCCAGGTTTATGAAGAACTGGTAGCCACCAGGGCTACCAAAGAGGGGAATGTATTGGTACCAACACTTTTACATGGGTGTGAAGCATGGGTTGTGAATGTTGCAGCGAGAAAGAGGCTGGAGGCAGTGGAGATGCTGTATCTGAGGGCAATGTATGGTGTAAATATTTTGTAGAGAATTCATGGTTTGGAACTTAGAAGGTGTGGAATTACTAAAAGTATTATCCAGAGGGTTGAGGGAGGGTTGTTGAGGTGGTTTAGTCATTTAGAGAGGATGGAGCAAAATAGGATGATTTGGAGGGTATATAAATCTCTAGTAGAGGGAAGGTGGGGTAGGGGGAGTCCTAGGACAAGATGGAGAGAAAGATAAAGGAGGTTTTGTGTGCAAAGGGGCTTAGACATGCAGCAGGCATGTGTAAGAATGTTAAATGGGAGTGGAAACAAATGGATTTTGGTATTTGACGAGCTGTTGGAGTGTGAGAAAGGTAGTATTTTGTGAAAGAAAATTCAGGAAAACCCATTAGCCGGACTTGAGTTCTGGAGGTGAGAAGTACAATGCCTGCACTCTAGAGGCGGGGGTTGAGATATCTTCTACTGGGAAGGACATGTAAACCGTCGTATCTGCGCTCCTCTGGCAACACAGTGATAGCGTGAATGATGGTAAAGTTTTTTTTTCGGATCACCCTGCCTCGGTGGGAGACGACCAGTGTTATATATATATATATATATATATATATATATATATATATATATATATATATATATATATAAATATATATATATATATATATATATATATATATATATGTACGTATCAATTAGTTAGTTTAATATGTTTATTATGCACCCCATACCCATCCTGTGGGCGGTAGTCAAAAGATTACAGAGGTACATAATTGGTCCAGGGACTGGACTCCAAAGTTTTGATAGCTGAGCAAGTTACAGAGGTAATGAACTCACAATTTACAAAGTAATGAACTCACAATTTACAAAGGTAATGAACTCACAATTTACAAGGTAAGAAACTCACAATTTACAAAGGTAATGAACTCACAATTTACAAAGGTAATGAACTCACAATTTACAAAGGTAATGAACTCCAGGTAAGTCTGGTCACAATCATGACAAGTTACAAAGGTATTTACAGATTACAGAGGTACGTAATGGGTCCAGGGACTGGGCCCCCAAAGTTTTGATAGCTGAACTAGGTACAAAGGTAATGAGCTCACAAGTTACAAAGGTAATGAATTCTGTAGAATGGTTACTTACGTTTATACTTTGGCTACAATCATGAACAAATTATAGAGTAATGAGCAATTCACACTTCCACACCCGGTCACAACTGTAATGAGTTATTGGTGCAAATATTGATTGTTGAGTCACACACACCACACACACACACACACACACACACACACACACACACACACACACACACACACACACACACACACACACACACACACTTTAGTTTAATATCTTTATGCACCCCATACCCATCCTGTGGGCGGTAGTCAAAAGATTACAAAGGTACATAATGGGTCCAGTGACTGGACCCCAAAGTTATGACAGCTGAACTAGTTACAAAGGTAATGAACTCCAGGTAGATCTGGTCACTAATCATGGCAAGTTACAGAGGTAATGAATCAGCTTCACTCCTATACATGGTTACAGTCATGAACAAATTACAAAGTAATGAACCACTGATACGTCCACACCTGGTCACAATTGTAATGAGTTATAAATACAAATATTAAGTGGGTCATACACCCACACTAGCGCGCGCGCGCACATACACACACTACGTATCAAACACTGTTGAAAGTGAAAGTGGACGGGGGGGGGGTGAGCCTTGATAGACCTACCCTACAGAGAGGCCTACACCTAGCAGTAGTAAACATCGATATACAGGTCTTGTGAAGTCAAGAGAAGGAATATATACTCACTGTCTCCAGTGTGGTATTATCTACCCCAGCAGGTACAGGTGTGGTTACAGTGAACTCTGTATCACTGACCAGTGATGGTGAGGTCTCACTAGCGTCCTCTTGTTCTAACTCACTCATATTCTCTCGCCAAGCTCAATCACACTGACAGAAATCTGGGAGGAAATCGAAAACGAGTTGAGGGGTGCGAGTTGCAAATCCTGTTTGTTGCAAGATTGTTGCAACTGGGCCTCCCAAGGGCAACAAACAACGCCATCTGTTGGGTCTAGCTGGCACTACTTGCCTATCTTTAAGTTTTGAATAATGCGCTCTCTCTCTCTCTTTCTCTCTGTCTCATTCTCTCTTCCTCCCTCTCTCTCTCTCTCATTCTCTATGTCTCTCTGCCCCATAAGGAAGGTTCCTTGACGCTGGTGAGGGGCTCTTGATCTAGGGAATTGGATCCGTGCTCCAGCTACCTGAATTAAGCCTCAATACCTTCCATCACCCCCCCCCTCCCCCAGGCGCTGTACAATCCCTACAGGTTTAGCAGTCCCCCATGATAACAATCTGTCCCACTCACCGACCAGTACATCACATAATTGCAGTTATGACACACATGTTCAGTAGTTTAGTGTTCTGCTCCTCAGATAACAGTGATAAAGGTCTTTCATTATCTCTCCTTCCCATTGACGTCAACATGATGCATCATGATAATATCTTGGTAAATATCCCGCATGATAACACTGACTTAAGCATGCAGCATTATCATGTGCATAAATAACAACTAGACTAGTGTGCTTACACATTAAAAAAAGTAACCTAGTGTTGTCAGCACGACAGGTAGCCTAGTGTGGTCAGCACGACAGGTAACCTAGTGTGGTCAGCATGACAGGTAACCTAGTGTGGTCAGCATGACAGGCAACCTAGTGTGGTCAGCACGACAGGTAACCTAGTGTGGTCAGCATGACAGGTAACCTAGTGTGGTCAGCACGACAGGTAACCTAGTGTGGTCAGCACGACAGGTAACCTAGTGTGGTCAGCACGACAGGTAGCCTAGTGTGGTCAGCACGACAGGTAACCTAGTGTGGTCAGCATGACAGGCAACCTAGTGTGGTCAGCACGACAGGTAGCCTAGTGTGGTCAGCATGACAGGTAACCTAGTGTGGTCAGCACGACAGGTAGCCTAGTGTGGTCAGCATGACAGGCAACCTAGTGTGGTCAGCACGACAGGTAGCCTAGTGTGGTCAGCACGACAGGTAACCTAGTGTGGTCAGCACGACAGGTAACCTAGTGTGGTCAGCACGACAGGTAGCCTAGTGTGGTCAGCATGACAGGCAACCTAGTGTGGTCAGCACGACAGGTAGCCTAGGGTGGTCAGCACGACAGGTAGCCTAGTGTGGTCAGCACGACAGGTAACCTAGTGTGGTCAGCATGACAGGCAACCTAGTGTGGTCAGCACGACAGGTAGCCTAGGGTGGTCAGCACGACAGGTAACCTAGTGTGGTCAGCAAGACAGGTAACCTAGCGTGGTCAGCACGACAGGTAACCTAGTGTGATCAGCACGACAGGTAACCTAGTGTGGTCAGCACGTCAGGTAGCCTAGTGTGGTCAGCACGACAGGTAACCTAGTGTGGTCAGCACATGTAACCTAGTGTGGTCAGCACGACAGGTAGCCTAGTGTGGTCAGCACGACAGGTAGCCTAGTGTGGTCAGCACGACAGGTAACCTAGTGTGGTCAGCACGACAGGTAACCTAGTGTGGTCAACACGACAGGTAGCCTAGTGTGGTCAGCACGACAGGTAACCTAGTGTGGTCAGCACGACAGGTAACCTAGTGTGGTCAGCACGACAGGTAACCCTAGTGTGGTCAGCACGACAGGTAGCCTAGTGTGGTCAGCACGACAGGTAACCTAGTGTGGTCAGCACGACAGGTAACCTAGTGTGGTCAGCACGACAGGTAACCTAGTGTGGTCAGCACGACAGGTAACCTAGTGTGGTCGGCACGACAGGCAGCCTAGTGTGGTCAGCACGACAGGTAACCTAGTGTGGTCGGCACGACAGGCAGTCTAGTATTGTCAGCATGATAAGAGCTAACCTAGTGTTGTCAACACGACTGGAGATAGCCTAGTGTTGTCAGGACGACAGGTAGCTTAATTAATGTCAGCACGACAAGAAGCTTTGCGTTGTCAGCACGAAAGATAGCCAAGTGTTGGCAGGACAACAGGAACTAGCCTAGTGTTGTCAGCACGACAGGTAGCTTAGTGTTGTCAGGACAACAGGAGCTAGCCTAGTGTTGTTGGGACAACAGGAGATAGCCTAGTGTTGTTGGGACAACAGGAGATAGCCTAGTGTTGTTGGGACAGCCGGAGATTGCCTAGTGTTGTTGGGACAACACCGTGACTGGAACAATACTGTGACTGGAACAACACCGTGACTGGAACAACACCGTGACTGGAACAACACCGTGACTGGAACAACACCGTGAGTGGAACAATACTGTGACTGGAACAACACTGTGACTGGAACAACACTGTGACTGGAACAACACCGTGACTGGAACAACACCGTGACTGGAACAACACTGTGACTGGAACAACACCGTGACTGGAACAACACCGTGATTGGAACATTACTGTTACTGGAACAACACCATGACTGGAACAACACCGTGACTGGAACAACATCGTGACTGGAACACCGTGACTGGAACAATACCGTTACTGGAACAATACTGTGACTGGAACAATACTGTGACTGGAACATCACCGTGACTGGAACAATACTGTGACTGGAACAACACCGTGACTGGAACACCGTGACTGGAACAACACCGTGACTGGAACAACACCGTGACTGGAACACCGTGACTGGAACACCGTGACTGGAACAACACCGTGACTGGAACACCGTGACTGGAACAACACCATGATTGGAACACCGTGACTGGACCAATACTGTGACTGGAACAACACCATGACTGGAACAACACCATGACTGGAACACCGTGACTGGAACAACGCCGTGACTGGAACAACACCGTGACTGGAACACCGTGACTGGAACAACACCGTGACTGGAACAACACCGTGACTGGAACAATACTGTGACTGGAACAACACCGTGACTGGAACAACACCGTGACTGGAACAACACCGTGACTGGAACAATACTGTGACTGGAACAGGTGACGGAAAAGAATAACAGCGGTTAATAAAAGAGGTCAATATATCTGAAATGCGTAGGGAGACACTGGTCAGAGAAATAGCAATCATCTAACTTAAGCTAAAGGAATCTTATAGGAGTCAGGAATCGCGGGAAGAACTAAAAGCCATAAATGAAATCGAAAGAAACCCAAAGTATTTCTTCTCCTATGCCAAATCAAAGTCGAGAACAACGTCCAGTATTGGGCCCCTACTTAAACAAGATGGGTCCTACATAGATGACAGCAAGGAAATGAGTGAGCTACTCAAGTCCCAATATGACTCAGTTTTTAGCAAGCCGCTAACCAGACAGAGTCGAAGATCAAAATGAATTTTTTATGAGAGAGCCACAGAATTTGGTTAACACAAGCCTATCTGATGTTATCCTGACGCAAAATGACTTCGAACAGGCGATAAATGACATGCCCATGCACTCTGCCCCAGGGCCAGACTCATGGAACTCCGTGTTCATCAAGAACTGCAAGAAGCCCCTATCACGAGCTTTTACCATCCTATGGAGAGGGAGCATGGACACGGGGGTCGTCCCACAGTTACTAAAAACAACAGACATAGGCCCACTCCACAAAGGGGGCAGTAAAGCAACAGCAAAGAACTACAGACCGATAGCACTAACATCCCATATCATAAAAATCTTTGAAAGGGTCCTAAGAAGCAAGATCACCACCCATCTAGAAACCCATCAATTACACAACCCAGGGCAACATGGGTTTAGAACAGGTCGCTCCTGTCTGTCTCAACTATTGGATCACTACGACAAGGCCCTAGATGCACTAGAAGACAAAAAGAATGCAGATGTAATATATACAGACTGCAAAAGCCTTCGACAAGTGTGACCATGGCATAATAGCGCACAAAATGCGTGCTAAAGGAATAACGGAAAAAGTCGGTCGATGGATATATAATTTCCTCACTAACAGAACACAGAGAGTAGTAGTCAACAGAGTAAAGTCTGAGGCAGCTACGGTGAAAAGCTTTGTTCCACAAGGCACAGTACTCGCTCCCATCTTGTTCCTCATCCTCATATCTGACATAGACAAGGATGTCAGCCACAGCACCGTGTCTTCCTTTGCAGATGACACCCGAATCTGCATGACAGTGTCTTCCATTGCAGACACTGCAAGGCTCCAGGCGGACATCAACCACATCTTTCAGTGGGCTGCAGAAAACAATATGAAGTTCAACGATGAGAAATTTCAATTACTCAGATATGGTAAACACGAGGAAATTAAATCTTCATCAAAGTACAAAACAAATTCTGGCCACAAAATTGAGCGAAACACCAACGTCAAAGACCTGGGAGTGATCATGTCGGAGGATCTCGCCTTCAAGGACCATAACATTGGATCAATCGCATCTGCTAGAAAAATGACAGGATGGATAATGAGAACCTTCAAAACTAGGGAGGCCAAGCCCATGATGACACTCTTCAGGTCACTTGTTCTATCTAGGCTGGAATATTGCTGCACACTAACAGCACCTTTCAAGGCAGGTGAAATTGCTGACCTAGAAAATGTACAGAGAACCTTCACGGCGCGCATAACGGAGATAAAACACCTCAATTACTGGGAGCGCTTGAGGTTCCTGAACCTGTATTCCCTGGAACGCAGGAGGGAGAGATACATGATTATATACACCTGGAAATCCTAGAGGGACTAGTACCGAACTTGCACACGAAAATCACTCACTACGAAAGCAAAAGACTTGGCAGACGATGCAACATCCCCCCCAATGAAAAGCAGGGGTGTCACTAGCACGCTAAGAGACCATACAATAAGTGTCAGGGGCCCGAGACTGTTCAACTGCCTCCCAGCATACATAAGGGGGATTACCAACAGACCCCTGGCAGTCTTCAAGCTGGCACTGGACAAGCACCTAAAGTCGGTTCCTGACCAGCCGGGCTGTGGCTCGTACGTTGGTTTGCGTGCAGCCAGCAGTAACAGCCTGGTTGATCAGGCTCTGATCCACCAGGAGGCCTGGTCTCAGACCGGGCCGCGGGGGCGTTGACTCCCTGGAAACCCTCTCCAGGCATATATGACAACTTACGTAACTATATTCTTGTACAATTGTACCTACATAAACTTATTAACTATACAATATGTATATGGGAGAAGTGACGTCACTCAGGCCTACTAAGTTATCATTACGTCAGCATCACGCTGGTATATAGGCCTTGACATGAGTCATATCATACTGCTTACATAATTTATCACATTGACGTAGCGATACTTGAATATACTGTCAATACATCGTGTACGTTTATTTGTATATATGGAAGAATTCCCGAAACGCAAGTTTAGCCTCTAAACTCAAAAATACCTTAAATTTAGTGGTTCCTGGCCTGTAGGCTTCCATCGTGCTTATTTTTGAAGCTGTGTATTGAGTTTGCCTCCCCCCCTCCTCCTCATCTAGTTTATTACACTTGTTTAACTTCCTAAGACTGATAAAGTATGTATGATGATGATGATGATGATAATAATAATAATAATAATAATAATAATATACTACTGCTACTATTACTACTACAAATACTACTGGAGTATACCTGGAGTTTACCTGGAGAGGGTTTCGGGGGTCATCGCCCCCGCGGCCCGGTCTGAGACCAGGCCTCGTGGTGGATCAGGTTCTGATCAACCAGGCTGTTACTGGTGACCGCACACGAGCTCATGTACGACCCACAGCCCGGTTGGTCAGGTACTGACTTTAGGTGCCTGTCCAGTGCCTTCTTGAAGACAGCCAGGGGTCTATTGGTAATCCCTCTTATGTATGCTGGGAGGCAACTGAACAGTCTTAGGCCCCTGACACTTACTGTGTTGTCTCTCAGTGTACTCGTGGCGACCCTGCTTTTCATTGGGGAAATGTTGCATCTCCTGCCGAGTCTTTTGCTTTAATAGGGAGTGATTTTCATGTCCAAGTTTGGTAGTAATCCCTCTAAGATTTTTCTAAGTGTATGTTATCAGTATTTTTCTCGCCTGCGTTCTAGGGAATACAAATCAAGGGACTTCAACCGTTCCCTGTAATTTTGTTGCCTTATCGCACTTGTGTGTGCCGTGAAAATTCTCTGTACACTCTCCAGGTCAACAATGTCTCCAGCCTTGAAGGGGGCCGTTAGTGTACAGCAGTATTCCAGCCTAGAGAGCAGAAGCGATTTGAAGAGAATCATCAAGGGCTTAGCGTCCCTAGTTTTGAAGGTTATTATCCATCTTACCATTTTTCTAGCATAAACAAAAAAGGCACAATACCGTGACTGGAACGATACACAAATAACCCGCACATAAAAGAGAGAAGCTTACGACAACGTTTCGGTCCGACTTGGACCAATGGTCCAAGTCGGACCGAAACGTCGTCGTAAGCTTCTCTCTTTTATGTGCGGGTTATTTGTGTATTTCCCTAGCAGATGTGGTAGATACATTGTTGTGGTCTTTGATGGTGAGATCCTCTGACATTATTGCTCACAGGTCCTTCACTTTACTTTTTCACTCTATTGTACTAGTACTACTACTAATAATAATACATAACTTCATACCGCTCACTCCTGCTACAAGTCTACCTGTACATCACTCAACTTTCTATAATGTTTGAATATATTTTTTCCGGGTAGATATGTCCTCCATGCTGGTGCCACATAACAAAAATATCTGAGATGCGTCATGTAACGCCGTGAAGGATGCTCAGGTACCAACAAGATAATGCTAAGACCAGGTAACCTTCCACACACTGCCGATATTTTACGATTTATGTGTGTCTCTGGTGACAAGTTTGGTGTAATGATCACTTACAGGTCTTTCTATATGCTTGCTCCCCCCCCCTCCTCACTTCTTAGTTTATATTCTGCATCCAGTCACTCTCCACTCTCTCTTAGTTACATGGATGTGCTCTCCTCTCCATTATATAACGTGGTTCTCTTGTTGGATAACTTCTGAAGTTTGTTCACGTCATCTTTTAGCGTCTCTCCGTCCTCTCTTAGTCTTCTTAGTTCCACGTCAGTTGATCCTCCTCTGCCAGCTTATATACGTCCATCAATAAAAACAAAGGCTCTACTATTCTCTCTAAGATTCTTCAATATCTGGGTTATTAACACTGTTATTCTTCAAGACTTATCTTCACTATATACAATAAACATGGAGCGAGACAAGCATCCTTCGGTATTATGTCTGTGACAGAGCTCCCACGCTTCTATATCACTACAAACCTAACAAAAGCAACATTACTTTTGAAAATAGCTTTAATACCACCATAAATTGTTAAATATTTGGTATTGTAAATAATTTATGTTCAAATATAAACTATATTGTATGTCCAAATGAGTGTGACTTTGTCAACAACTCATTAATATTGTTCCTGAATCAATGATTCTTCTCAATGTTTCGTTACTGCTGTAATTTGATTGATGTAATGTGAGTTGCATATAATAGATCCAGTCTCAGGACCCATTATGTGCCTTTGTAATGTTGAAGTACAGCCCCTGGAACAATTATGTGCCTCTGTAATGTTGAGGTACATTCCCTGGACCCATTATGTGTCTCTAATAATTTGACTAGTGCCTCCAGGATGGTTATGAGGTAAATACCACTCACATAATGGATATGGGGGTGAGTACTGCTCACAAGATGGGTATGAAGGTGACTACTGCTCACAAGATGGGTATGAAGGTGACTGCTGCTCACAAGATGGGTATGAAGGTGACTACCGCTCACAAGATAAGTAATGGGATGACTACCGCCAACACGATGAGTAATGCGGTGACTACCGCCACAGGATGATGTGATACGCAAGTGGTAATGTAACTACCGCCCACAGGATGAGTAATGGGGTGACTACCGCCCACAGGATGAGTAATGGGGTGACTACCGCCCACAGGATGAGTAATGGGGTGACTACCGCCCACAGGATGAGTAATGGGGTGACTACCGCCCACAGGATGAGTAATGGGGTGACTACCGCCCACAGGATGAGTAATGGGGTGACTACCGCCCACAGGATGAGTAATGGGGTGACTACCGCCCACAGGATGAGTAATGGGGTGACTACCGCCCACAGGATGAGTAATGGGGTGACTACCGCCCACAGCTACAGGGCTTAATATTGGTGTGTACTGATGGTGTGGTGGGTGACACATACCTGCATGTTGGTATCCAGTGATGGTGAGTGTTGGTATAGCAGATGGGGAGTGGTACAGTAGGTGGTGGGTGGTACAGCAGGTGGTGGGGTGGTACAGCAGATGGTGAGTAGTACAGTAGGTGGTGGGTGGCACAGCAGGTGGTGGGTGGCACAGCAGGTGGTGGCACAAGAGCTGGTGCCAATACAGCAGTGCCGGGCCTCTCACTCTCACTCTATATATGGCACAAGTCACGTGACACCAGCGTGGGGAGGAGCTGCTCCCGGAAACATTGTCTTATCTACAGAGAGGAAAAAAAACTAATCCCGGGAGGGTCACACACAGTAGCATTGATAACCATGTTGACGAGGTAGTGCGTGCATGACAGCCTCGTGCCTCCACTGACCTGTGAACCCAGTGCTGAGTACAACCTGTCCACCACTCCTTCACGTGTACAACCATGCAAACATGCATCCATATATATATATATATATATATATATATATATATATATATATATATATATATATATATATATATATATATATATATATATATATATATATATATAAAGTTTTTCTTCTTCTCTTTTTTAGTAAATGTATACAGGAGAAGGGGTTACTAGCCCATTGCTCCCGGCATTTTAGTCACCTCATATGACACGCATGGCTTACGGAGGAAAGATTCTTTTCCACTTCCTCATGGACAATAGAAGAAATAAAGAGGAACAAGAGCTATTTAGAAAAAGGGGAAAAACCTAGATGTATATATATATATATATGCATGTGCGTGTCTGTGAAGTGTGACCAAAGTTTAAGTAGGAGTAGCAAGATATCCCTGTTATCTAGCGTGTTTATGAGACAGAAAAAGAAACCAGCAATCCTACCATCATGCAAAACAGTTTCAGGTTTCTGTTTCACAGTCATCTGGCAGGACGGTAGTACTTCCCTGGGTGGTTGCTGTCTACCAACCTACTACCTACAAGAGTGTATCAGTCTGTAGTGGAAGGAAGGCGGGGTAGGGGTCGGCCTAGGAAAGGTTGGAGGGAGGGGGTAAAGGAGGTTTTGTGTGCGAGGAGCTTGGACTTCCAGCAGGCGTGCGTGAGCGTGTTTGATAGGAGTGAATGGAGACAAATGGTTTTTAATACTTGACGTGCTGTTGGAGTGTGAGCAAAGTAACATTTATGAAGGGGTTCAGGGAAACCGGCAGGCCGGACTTGAGTCCTGGAGATGGGAAGTACAGTGCCTGCACTCTGAAGGAGGGGTGTTAATGTTGCAGTTTAAAAACTGTAGTGTAAAGCACCCTTCTGGCAAGACAGTGATGGAGTGAATGATGGTGAAAGTTTTTCTTTTTTGGGCCACCCTGCTTTGGTGGGAATCGGCCAGTGTGATAATAATAATAAAATAATATAAAAATATATAATATATATATAATATATATATATATATATATATATATATATATATATATATATATATATATATATATATAGGTAGATACATAAATGTATGTATGTATATTGTATGAAGTTTTTCTCTTTCTTGTTTTCTGTAGTTTATACAAAAGGGGTTACTAGCCTCTTGCTCCAGACATTTAGTCGCCTCCTATGACATGCATAGTTTACGGAGGAAGAATTCTGTTCCACTTCCCTATCGAGATAAGCAGAAATAAACAAGAACAAGAACTAGGAAGAAAATAGAAAACCCAGAGGGGTAAGTATATATATATATATGCTTGTACATGCATGTGTACTGTGACCTAAATGTAACTAGAAGTAGCAAGACGTACCTGCAACCTTACATGCTTATGAGACAGAGAAAGAGACCAGTAATCCTACTATCAGACAACCGTATATCGAATCCATTCCCTTGCACCGACTTCTCAATAGAAATACCCCTACTGTCCTAGCAGGGGACTTCAATGCCCACCACCCTGTTCTCTTCAATTGTGGAGCCACCCAGCCCCAAGGTGACCACAAGGGGAAACAACTATACCACATAATGACCGCAAAAGACCTTACATTCCAAGTCCCATTCTTCAAGTCGTTTGTGGGCCCCCACCCAGGCACCCCAAACGTAGTCCTCACCAACAGAGACTGCGACCTGTTCCAATGTAGAGTCTCCCCAGGCGGCAACGTCGGGTCAGACCACATCCCTGTGGTAATCAAGCTACAGTCCACTCCATTCCGAACACCCACCCTCCCCAAACCCAACCTGAAGACGCTAGGTTTTGACCCCTTTAGAGCCTTCTTAGGAAATGGCCAAACCATTTCTCTCGAAGACCAGCCCTCCAATGCAATAGATGGGGCAATTAACTCCCTCCATGCCAGAATCAATGAGGCCACACAAGCTTGCTGCACCATCCAAGATCTACCAACAATACAAACCAACCAGGGAAATCAAGGACAGAATGAACATGTACCAATCAGAATGCAGCAGACACTTTCTCACAGGGCAACCCTCCCGGGAAGTCCTACAAAGATTGAGAAGAGAGCTAATCGCCCTAATAAACCAACATAAAAGAGATCTTTGGGATTATCTGGTGCACCAAGCAAACCAGTATAAACGCCACCCAGATCTATTCTGGAACAAGATCTGCAGACTCCTAGGGGCCAATCACACTCCCACTCAACACCTCACTCACTCCTTCACCGATGAAGATGGCGAGGTAGTGACTACCCTACTTGATGACCCACTGGACCAAGCCAAGCTGATGGGCAAAGTATGGGAGAACATTCTCTCACACAACGACAGCAGAAGATTTAACAATATCCACTACCAGCGGGTCAACCAATGGCGTGACGAGAACCTAGAAGACTTTCATCCTATACCATCAACTGACACATCTTTCCTCGAAGACGAACATCCCCTTACCAGACCAATCACGCTCAGAGAAGTGTCCCAAGTCATAGGGTGACTGAGAAACACAGCTCCTGGCCCATCAGGCATAAGAGCTAAACAACTAAAGTACCTTCCCCGTAACTGCAAGATGTCACTGGTGAATATCTACAATGCCATCTTGGCATCTGGTCACTTCCCAGAGGCTTTCAAGACAGCCAAGATGATTTTCATCGCCAAACCTAACAAGGACAACTGCAACCCCGACAACTACAGACCCATCTCCCTACTTGAAGTCACAGGCAAAGTCTTCGAAAGAATAATCTCCAACAGACTAAACTACTACATGGAGTTCAACCACCTATTCTCTGAAAGGCAGTTCGGCTTCAGGTCCAGCCGCAGTACTCAGCAGGCCATAAACATCATCTTTGATGCCATGGCCAGCCTGAAAAAGCAAGGGAACCTGGCCCTTATCACCACCAAGGACGTGCACAAGGCCTTTGACATATTTGGCACGATGGTCTCATTTACAAACTCGTAGACCTCCCTGATCACAACTGGACCTTTCTCAGGCTCATCTACAACTTCTTAACAGGAAGAAAAATCATCCCCACCTTTCATGGAATGGAATCAACCCCCTTCACACCAACAGCAGGAGTACCCCAAGGCTCCTGCCTCAGCCCTATCCTCTTCAACATATACGTCAACAACCTCCTCCAACCTGAACATACCGACACCATCATCACCCGTTTCGCAAATGATGTCATCCATTTTGTCTCCTCCACCCCTACAGCTGGTGCATATAGGCATAGGAGAGCAATTGAGAAAATGAATGAAGAATTAAATAGAACAGCTAGGTGGGAGAAGAAATGGAGAATCACAACCAACCCAGACAAAGTCCTCATCAGCACCATCGGATGCTTACCATCAACCATAGAAGACAAAGGGGACATTTCCATCAGAGGCACCTGAATAGCTATTTAGGAATCCAAACAAGCTCCTAGGATACGGGATCAACAGATTACTCAACTCTACATCCCACATAACCAAAAAAGTAAACCTAGCGAAAGTCCGCATTGGCCAACTTTATCGATTCAAAGTAGCTCCCCCCCCACATCAAACTACACCTGTACAAGATGATGATCAGACCTCTGCTGGAATACCCCTGTGTACCCATGTCACTCTCAACCAAAACCAACATGCTAAAACTCCAAAGAGTCCAAAACAAAGCCCTCCACTTCATCACTGGCACCAGATTCAGAGACAGAATCAGGACCGAGGACCTACACATTCAACAGAGAATCCCTGCAATCAATGTCCAGTTAGACAAACTCACGAAGAGACAACTATATGACATGCAGGAACTCTATGTGCCTGACAGAGAGAACCCCCCGCCAACCAGTGAACACGACCCACTACACCATCACCACCCCTCCTCACAGATCCCAAAGAATGACCCTCCAACAAAGAGTTCGACGCTTCATCCACAAGGAGAACTTCCCTCGACCTAAAATCTTAAGCGACCTCCTCGCAGAAGAAGAATGGTTACCACCGGAACCATTCTATGTCCAGTAACACGGACTAACGCTCCCCATCTCCAGATGACCCACTTCTCACAACTAACCTTGTTGCACCTACAACTACCCTCCAGCAGGACACCACCTCAGTCACTGCTTAGCCGGCCAACCTCAGGTGAGCAACCAACCTCCATCAAATGACCTGCAACTTCCACGTGCAGCTGCGGCCTTCTGACCATCCTCTTGGAAAAAAAAAAAAAAAAAGCAATTGCACGCAGTATGCATCCTTCCAATTCAATGACACACTGGTATAACAACAATATAGCAGTGTGCAATTGATGGGCAGGAGGCATACCCCACTCATGAAACCAACCTCCTTATAGACTACTCAATAACCACACACGCATATTCGAAACACACCAAAGTGGATAGGCCACAACCCTTTTAGAACCTCATCTACCCCTCCTCCCTCCCCAACCTTTCCTACATTCCATCCTTACCCATCCTTCTTCCTCCCTCCCATCTTACCAAAGCTCTGGTCAGAACCTCGAACCTCGATCCTACCATCATGCAAAACAAATACAGGCTTGTGTTTCACACTCATTTGGCAGGACAGTAGTACATACCTCCCTGAGTGGTTGCTGTCTACCAACCTACTGTATATATGTATACAGTGGTCCCTCGTTTTTCGTAATTAATCCGTTCCTGGAGCCGTTACTATAAACGAAATTTACGATTTGCGAATCAATTTTCCCCATAAGAAATAATGTAAATACAATTAATCTGTTCCTGACACCCAGAAGTATTAAAACAAAAATTTTTTTTACATGAAATATACAAGTAGTACATGGTATAAACCTTGGTAATAAATACCGACAAGTTGGTTTAGAAAGACACGTAAGCAAACACTATAACATATTTATTAGAAAACGTTTCGGTCCTGGGACCTTGATCACTT